ATAAAATAAAATAGAAGGATCCAGTGTTATGCATTTTTTTTATGAATACATTAATTCTGTAGGAGAAGAAAGAAGATTGGGAGATTATTAGGAGGAAATGTATTGTTACTTAGGTTTGGGCTCATTTCCAATCCAGAAAAGACTCCTTTCTAGCTAAAAGCCTGTAGGTGAGTAGCAGCAACAAGACTTTGGGTGGTACCAGGAATTGAACCAAGGGTACACTATAGCCAAACACCTCTAACCTTTTTTAGTTTTTTGTTTTTAAACATGGTCCTGCTAAATTGCTCATGCTGGCTTAAAACTTGGGATCCTCCTGCCTCAGCTTCCCAAGTTGCTAGGATTATAAATGTGTGCCATGCCTGACCATAAGATTTTTTTTTTTTTTTAAATCAGCTTGGAAAGACCAAACTTGAAAAAAGATCAAAGACATTAGTAGTTGTTAAGATCTGTAAATGAAGCTTAGTTGAGCTTATTCGCAAATTTGCAATATCAACATTGTCTAATTATAAATGAGAGGATATTAGTTAACTAAAAGCCCAACAAATAAGATTTAATACAGTTTAAGTATAGTGTATTGATTTGAAAAATACTTGTTAAAACTTTTAGCAATATAGGAAAGTACTTGTACTATCATTTGGAAATTTTATGTGTATCTTCCAAACCTGAAAGCATGTAAGTATATTAACAATTCACAGAAGGAGAGTTAAAGCCATTTTTGGTCTTACTGTGGTAAGGAAAAGAGAAAGCCATAATGAAGAAACATGCCTCCTTTGCTTTGGGAATGCTAGGATAATGCTTTATAGATAAAACTAAAAACTAGTCAGTGCTAGCTGTAAGTTATCTTCCTAGGTTACAAAGTTGGTGTCAAAACTAGAATTCAGATTTTTTACTCTTGTAAATTCTTGTTGGTGATTCTTGATGATGTTAACTTTTGTTTACTAAACCTGTAGCTATTGACAGTTAAGTTTTCCTGGAGCTCAGATTCTTGTGTGCTTAGTTCAGTCCCTATCAGTATCTCCTTATCTGTGGAGGCCATCACCTGTTGCCTGCTCACAGGTCCACCTCATTTCCTTACTTCTTTGCTAGACATTGACTTTTAACTGTATAGATTCATTTTTGTTTGTTTGTTTCTTGGTGTGATAGATTGAAATGTATAAAAAAAAAAAAAAAAAACTATAAATTTCCACTCCACATGCTTTTCTAGAAACTTCACTATTAAAAAAAAAAAAAAAAGCAAAAAAGTTAAAGTATGTCCTGTTGAACCTGAATGTGCCTTTATGACTGCTTTGACTAATACGGAATAGCCATGGCAGAGCCATAATATTTGAGGCTTGGATATTAAATGTGATAAAATTTCCTCAGTGTCCTCTCGAGATTTACTTTATAGCCCTAAGCCTCCACATAAATCCTTGAATTCACACACTGGAGTGACCTCATGAAGAGTCCATATAAAAATAGAGGTTTCATCCCCAATTTGTAGTCTTCCCAGCCTAAGCACCAGATGTGAGCTTTCCAGATGATTCCAGACCCATCTGGAATTGCATGAGAGACCCTGAGAAGAACCACCTAGCTGAGCCCAGTAAACTCCCAGAACTGAGGGGCAGTAAAAATGATTTAAGCCATTAGTATTAGGGTGATTTCTTAAGCAGCAACAGGTAATCACCTGGCTGTTAATTTGTTACATTTGCCAGGTACCTATTGTGCCAGATGCTTTTTTATGTGGTAGGAATATGGCATTGAACAAAACAAATGTCCCTACTCTCATGAAGTTTTAATACTAGGGGAGAGAAACAAGACAAGCTACGTATGTATTCTTTTAGGGATAAGTAGCAAGGAGTGAAGACAGGATAAGCTGAAAACTAGCCAGTGTCATTGAGGAAGGATTGAAAATTAAATTGGGTAACTCCAAGAAAGACTGAACCAAGAAGTTAAAGATTTTGAAGTGAGGAAGCTAGCCACTTACATGCCATGATAAAGAGTATGCTAGGCAGAATAAGTAGCTTCAAAGGTTCTAAGGTTGAATCTATCCATGTGTTCAAAACAGATCAGTATCTGGAAGGAAGAGTGTGAAGAGAGAACAAGTGGTGAGAGTGAAGGTAACTGGTAGAACATGTAAGGCCTTGTGGATCTGAGTGTAGACTTTTATTGTGAAATCTGTGGAAAGTACATGGAAAGTCATGCATATACTACCTGCTGATGATACCAGCTCCATTCTTTAATTTTATCTCTTGGGATTATTTGGTTTCAGAGGTTCACACAGTTTTAGTCTGAGCTGTTTCATAATCTGATAAACTTACATTGTGAAAGGCTCTTTCAGGATAGTTGGAATTATCTAATCTAGACCTTCACTATTTTTGCCTTTGACTATGTTACTTGGTAAACATTTAACTGTAGTTACTAATGAAGGGAGGGAAGTAATTATTTATGTAGTATATTTTACATTTCATAGCATTTATTTTACTAGTAGGGTGATTATATACTTATCAGCCATATATAATGCCTATATACAGTTGACCCTTCATTTCCATAGGTTTATATCCTCACATTCAACCAACCATCTATGGAACAGACACAGTCAAAAAACTGCGTCTGTGGCGGGATTTTTTGGTCAATATTCCCTAAATAATAAATATACTGTAACAACTATTTTGTATTAGGTATTATAAGTGATTTCTAAAGTACTCAGAAAAATGTATGTAAGTTATATGTAAATACTGTACCATTTTATTTTATATAAGGGGCTTGAGTATCCTCAGATTTTGTTATCGGAGGGATCCTAAAACCAATTGTCCGTGGATACTGAGAGGATGACCGTGTTTATCTTATATGTATATAATCTCTCTAATCAGTATGTGTATATCACACATACAAATGCATACATTGTTATTACAATTCTTTGATGTGTAGTATGACCAACTGGCCATAAGATTTTAAAACAGGATAAAAAGACAGAGATTGCTTTGTGATTAATTTCTTTTTCTTTTTTGGAAGTAAAATCTTATGTATGGTATATGATTCATTCTCATACATATTGTCAACTATCTTTAGATGTGAGTGGTGGAATTTTCATTTTACAAACAAACATGTCCAGGGTAGATCAATTGCCTAGAAGGCATGAGGCCCTGGGTCTACTTCCTAGCACTGCAAAAGATTGTGTGTGTGAATGAGGGAGAGAGACAAGAAAAGAGAAATGGAGAATGAGCAAGCCTGGATGACTGAGTTTCAAAGGAGGTTACAGCATTCTAGATGGTCTGTTGGGTATTATATTTGTGTGTTAGCTTTTTGTAATGACCAAAATACCTGACAAGAACAACTTATAGGGGGAAAATTTATTTCAGGCTCCTGGTTTCAGAAGATCAGCCCGTGGTCAGCTGATTCCATTCTTCTGAGCCTGAGGTGAGACGGAACATGGTGGAAAGGCATGGCAGAGAAAAGCTGCTCAGCTTATGGCAGCCAGGAAAAATGGGGAGAGAAGGCAGGGAGGGGTTGGGGGAGAGAAAAAGGAGGAGGAGGAGGAGAGAGAGAAGGAGGGGAGAGGGGAGTAGGAGAGAGGAGAAGAGCCAGGAACAAGGCCATGCCCACAGTGACCTACTTCCTGTAGCCACACCTTACCTACCTAGTTACCACCACACAGTAGCCCATTCAGATTTATAATCAAATGAATTCACTGATGAGGTTACAGCTCTTGTAATTCATCTTTTTTTTTTTTTTTTTAAATGTAGAGACAGGGTCTCACTGGGTTGCTTAGCACCTTGCTTTTGGTGAGGCTGGCTTTGAACTCTATCCTCCTGCCTCAGCCTCCCAAGCTGCTAGGATTACAGGCATGCACCACTATGCCTGGCTATAATTCAATCTTTTCACGTCTGAACATTGCTGCATTGCCTAACACACGAGTTCTTCAGTGTACATTTTTAGAACCAAACCATAACAGATTGCTCAATGACAGTTTGGTGGTTGTGTGCATCTTACAGTTTCTACTGAAAATCTGAGATCAGTTTTTACTAAACATATGAAAATGTATGAATTAAAGGAAAGAAGTTATGTCTCAGCTTCAAATACAAAAATAGGTATGGATATGTGTGTTTTAAAGAGTGAAAAAATAAATTATAAGAAATGCTTGGAGCTGAGGACCCTTGATTTCAAAAGGGTCCTGGAAGGAAAGTAAATCAGTCAGGGACAGTTGGGCGGGGTGGTGCAGTCTTGTAATCCCAACTATTTGGGAGGTTGAGGCAAGAGTACTGCAAGTTTGAGGCTTGCATGGGTAATTTAGCAAGACACTGTCTCAAATTTTTTAAAGCACTGGGGATGAGGACTGGGGTTGTGGCCCTGTGGTAGACCCCTTGCCTAGCATATGTGAGACACTGGGTTTGATTCTCAGCACCACGTATAAATAAATAAAAAATAAAGGTCCATCAACAACTAAAAAATATATTTTTTTAAAAAAGCACTGGGGATGTAGCTCAGTGGCAGGGTGCTTGCCTAGCAAGTGGGAAGCCCTGGTTTCAATTTTTGGTACCATTAAAAATAAGCAAAAATTCACATGGATAGTAAGGATCTTAAATGTAGGGAGATAGGGCGTAAATCCTGAGCCTATTGATTCTAAGTCGTATGCTATTTTTATTTCGCCACAGAAATCCAATATAAGAATTGTGCTTAGGCAGGTCAGTTATAACCTAGTGGGTGATTGAACTATTATTTTTTCCCTATTTTGTACCTTGGGTTCCATAATTGCCTCTATTCATTCTTTTCTAGGGGGAAAACAGGAGTCAGGAATACTTTGGAAGT